AGGGGGGGAGGAAGGGAGAGGGAGAGGGAGCACTCTTCTCATCAAGGTCAAAGGCATGCACCCAGTGACCTACTTCTTCCAGCCACATAGTACCTGCCTGTAGTCACCGCCTCTTAGGGCAGTCCTTTATTAATTCCTCAGATGGACCCATCCACTGACTAGCTTTCAGCTCTCATCCTCTAATCACTTCACCTCTGCCCATCCCTGTGTTGTCTCACACCTAAACCTAACATTGGACCGTTCCAAACAAGGTGGAGCAAGACGGAAGCTGCCCCCCCAAGGTTGGAAAAGCCAAACAGTCAGAAGAGAAGGCTTAGTCTGGGAAACAGGCGTGAAGGAGGGAGTCAGAGGACCCAGGGGAAGTCTGCAGAAGGAGCCGATGACAGGTTCCAGTGGCAAATGCCTTCTCCATTCAACCTGCCAGAAGAGGCCAGGAGTTAGAGGCGGGAGACCCTGTCCTTGGAGAATGAAACCTTCCAGAAGTAGAAAGAGAAAGTGGTGGGTCTACTGAGGGCTGATTGTGGGCCAAGAACGTGACTTGGGCCTTTCCTTTAAGGCTTCTGGAGGTACAGACCATTTCCCTCCTGGATCAAAGGAGGAAATGAGACTCCGGAGGGTCACTTGGTAGCTGAGCTGGATGTCAGCACAAGTTGCTGGCTTCTAAAGTCCTGTTATTTATATTAGAATTTTCTAGATTCTCTGAACATATCTGGCTTCTCCCTACCTCCTGAAGAGCTATTTATGTCATACTATGGCTCAACCCTGGAGTGAGACATGAGGCATCTCAGAACATGAACAAGTGGGGAGAAGAAACTGGGACCCGATGAGTCACGGGCTGAGCCCAGACCCACCTCTACTTCTGTGGAGTCTGGGGTAAAAGTACAAATGGAAAATGCACATCACCCCTTAAATGCAGGCAAATTGAAGTTAAGTTCAAAGCCAGCCAAGCAAGATAAGTTCTACCCATCTTTCTTGACAAACAGACTTCAAAACAACCTGGAAAATAAAAAACAATTTAGAATTGAGAGCTCTTGAGTTTCTTCAGGTTCAATACTGAATGTGACATTCCAGAGCTCCTCCCTTCTCCCCCCTGCCTGACTCTCCTCCCCATTCTGGGCTGGAACCTGCCTGGCAAAGCCTCCAACATTTGTATGCACCTAAGCTCTTCCCATACCCAGTGCACACAGCCAGCCCCTTGTATCGTGCATCCTCCTGCAACAGAGGTAGAGGCCAGCACGGTCCCAAGCAAGATCGAGGCTGTTGAGGCAAAGAATTCTCACTTCTCAGACACCTGGAGCATGGTTTATAGGGAAGGTAGAAGTTCCAGATGGGCACTTCCCTTTGACCTGGTGGGCTTCTTGCTGGAGTATGAGAGATAGGACAGAGGCCCTCCTGCCCAGACCTGAGACTGGCTGGATCACTAAGTACACACAGTGTGAAGGGACTGGTGAGCTCCAGGTTGGCTCAGCAGGGTCTACACAGAGGAGGTCAAACCAACAACCTGGTCAGCTTGCCACAAAATACAAAAGGCATCCCTCCTCCTGGCCCCATTATTTTGGGATCTACAAATAAGAACCAGGGGGTTTCAATGCTCAGGGACAGTGTTCTATCTAGGGCTGGTCAGAGCACAATTCAGACTTCTACTTTCATGATGAGCTGAAGGTTAAGTGCAGAAAGCTAGAACTCACACTTATTCCCAGAAGGAGGCTAGCAGCAGGTGATACCAGAGGGCAGGTAACAATAGGTAACAGCAGACGGGAAGAAAAATGCCAGGGTTCTCTCCTCCTGGCAGAGCTGAAGCTGCTGGTCAACCTTGGTCCTGGTCAGGCCTGGCTCAGGAATACACTTAGCCCAATACCATTGTGAAGGGCATCAGGGATTCTAATCAGAAGAGACAAAGGAAGGCAGCAATGGATCATTTCCCCATTAGGAGTGACAATATAAACTGAGAGAGGGGCTGGGGTGGAGGCGACCCTGCTTGCTCAGCACAACTCCCCTCAAAGTTAGTTTAAAAGGAGAGGAAGCAAGCTTGCTGCTGACAGCTGCTACGGAGATCTTCCAGGTTCTGTTAGACACGAAATCCCTGATGCAGGGTGAGGAGGGGAAACAGGGCTGGCTAAACAGACATTCTCTGTGCTAATGTGTCAGGGACCCAGCACTTCTGCTATATAAATACATACTCACTTTTTAAAAGAGAACATAATTTGTATTACCAAGCCATTACATGTGATTTGCATTTGGTCATTCATTTGGGATAGGTAAGTGTGTCATGAAACTTTTATATGGCAATACTTTGCCCTCAAACCAAGGATTTGAGGATCATCAGACAAAAACCATGGAATTCAGACTTAAGAAGTTTGGTTGTGGCTCAGATTTTTCCAATCAACTACTTTATGTGTGTGAGAATGTCATGCAAATTGTTTGACCACGGTTTCCTCATTTATCAAGAAATATATAAAGACACCCACCTTATATAACTCAGAGATTCTCATGATCCTATGAGATAAAATGGAAGCCGAAGCACTTCAAGAGCTTGTGACATTGTGCAAAGCCCTTCACTCTAGAATTTCAGCACCACCATTTACAAATTATGTCATCTTGACACGTTTCTGAAGGAACTTGGCATTCAATTTCTTCTTCTATAAAATTGTGAACACAATACTTATTTTAAACGATCTTGTAAAGATTTAGATAATTGTGAAAGAAACTGATGCATGGTAGACATAAAAACTTCCTTCATTTTTTTCTGGAATAAAATATTACAGGGTTTCTAATTAACCCGAATTAGTTGATTTGGTATTTTTCTTTTTGATTTCTCTGAAATAAAAATGAAAGGAATCATTTATAAAACCCAGTGTACTAAAACAAGAAGAGGTAAATACTTTATCATTAGTAGTGGAAACAATATCTAGACAAAAGAAGACTATAAACCAACCAGACATAACAGATATCTGGAGAACACTCAACCCACCCCCAACACACACATTCTTCTCTGCACATAAAACCTTCTCTATGATAGACCATATGTTAGGCCACACAACAATTCTCAATAAAACTTAAGAAGATGGAAAATCATGAAAATCTCCTCTGATCATAATGGACTAAAAGTAGAAATCAAAAACAGAAGGAAAATAATTTTTGTTTTTCTTTTAATAACTTCTCTGCCAGATCCATAGCTTTCTAAGAAAGGTGTGATATGTCCACCCACCTTCCTTCATTTAAAACTTTAGTCTTGGATCTCACGGAATGTTCTCCTTTCCCAGCTTGCCACAACCTCGATCCCAGAGCAAGAAGAAATGTTGGGAATTTCACCTGGCTCCATTTTGGTCAGGAAGTGGGGATCAGGGGAAAAAAAGTATAAACAAGATGTTATGCTCTCACGATATCTTAGCTGATGTCTGGTCTTAGACCAGGCAGCTAGAACCTTGGGGCTTACTCGCTCATACCCCACTCAGGAGTTTTATGATGGAGCCCCAGGAACATTTCCACCACTGGAGTCATCTCTTCTGATCCACCCCACCCAACCCAAATTCTGGCTTCCTGCTACTATGTGCCTTCCAAGATGGCGCCACATGGCTAACTTCCCAGGTGTCCCCTGCTATACAAGAAACTGTGCATCCTTGCCACACCCCCACACCCACCTTGCTCTCATTCCTTTCTCCCCTGCTGAAACAGGCAGCAAGGGCAATCAGCCATCTGCAGCACGGCAGACCTCCCCAGAGGAATGAGAAGTGGGTCTCCCCTTCTCAGAGGAACCCATCCCATGTCTTGGTTTGGAGCTGCCATGGGAGGTGCACAGGAGAAAGCAACCGCCGGAGGCATCAGTTTCTCCCTCTGGGCTGATGGTTCCCAAGATATTTCCAGAGCAGAAGGGGCAGGTGAGGGCAGCAAAGCCATTGAGAAGCAATGTCATGTTAACCAGAGACCACCCAAAATAGAACTCGGATTCCATCCTTGGGCAAAACTACTTAACCTCTCTATTTTTTAGTTACTTTATTTGTAAAACAGAGGTACAGGTTGGGTATTATCTGAAATGCTTGGGACCAGAGAATTTCAGATTTGGGATATTTTTCAGATTTGAGATTATTTGCACATGTGTCACGGGCTATCCTGTGTATCTTAGGATGAGCCCCAAGTCTGAGCATAAAATTCCTTCATGTTAATTATGTACCTTATATACATAGCCTGAGGATAATCTTATACTACATGCTTAGTGCATCTGAGTCTCACACTGCAACCCATCACAAGAGGTCAGGTGTGGTGGAATCTTCCATTGTGACATCACCTTGGTGCTCAAATTGTTTTGGATTTTGGAATATTTTGAACTTTAGAACTTTTTTTTTTTTGGATTGGGCATGCTCAACCTCTCCTCTCCCTCACAGGGTCACTTCTATAATTAAATGATAAGTAAGTCGAAGGAGTTTAGAATAGGACCTGAGAACGGTGAGCAGTGTGTAAGATTAGGTTAGGATGATTATTTCTGCTACATGTTAGTCAGATCTTGGGAGACAAATCCTGTCATGCTGTCAATTCTCTTTAGACTGAAGGAGTTCTCGGCACCTATTATTTTCAGCTTTTAGGCTATTGCTACAATTCTGAGACCAAAGCACAACAACAACAAAAAAAAACATAGTTTGTATCCTGTTACACACATTATTTGGAAATATGGAGATAAATATAGAAGACAGAGCTGAAAGAGTTGACAATGATTGCCTCTAGAGAATAAGACCAGGGGGTGGCGGCCCGGCGACAGACTGTGGCTTCTCATTATAAGCCCATTAGTACTGTTTGGTTTTTAAAAACTAGATCCCTGCATTACTTTGATAAAATTAATTCTTAATTTTTAAAGAAGAAAACACTCTGACACTACAAAACAGAATTCTATGTGTGAATTAGCATCTATTTTGTTTTGATTGTTCTTCAAGGATGCCATGAAAACTCTGGGGAAAGGATTGATAACACCCAAGGACACCACCAACTAGGACTGTAAAACCTAAGTAACTCTCCTTTTATCCTCCCTTTTATTCTCTCATAACCAAAAGGGAAAAGAATGTTCCATTTTTTTAAAAAAGAAAATTCCCTAAAACTAAACTTTCAGATAGTAGATCAGTACGATATTTCTTGGTAGACTTCCAAGTTGCATCAGATTTACATAGTAATTTCTTTAGGCTGTTCACTGCTTCCTGAGTTACCTGCTATGTCCTGCATGATTTTCCTGCATGAAAATGCAGGTGTGTTCTGTCCACTTCATGGTACAGCTTTGGGAGACTCGGTGAACTTATCCTGTATCAGCGAGTCCTCCATTTCAGAAATGGATGAACGAATCACTAGTATTTTACCTCAGTATCTAGTTCACGAGCAAGATCATAGGACTGTGGGTGTGGAGAACACAGAGTTACAGGCAGTTCTCATCCTCCACCCTGTGTGTGTCAGCTAGAGGAATGATCCCACAGAACGCAGGCCACATTGCCAGGGCAGTTAGCTGGGAAAGGATCCAGAAGCAACCATTTTTTGAGGTAAAGTATAGATTTGTTTTTATGGAAGTGGTCAGGAAAGATTTAGTTGGAGAAATTGAGATAGGAGGAGGGCTGGACTAGGAATGAGAGTAAAATAAGAATGGACAGAGAAGGAGAAAAGGACCCCAAGGGAGGAAGAGTGGATCTGAAGGGCAGTGATCCCACCCACTGAACAGAGGAGTCATGCATGTCCGTGTCAGAGGTAGGCAAAGAAAACCAGCATCTCATCACATCACAGAGGGATCTTCGCGCATGGCTGGGATTTACCCTAGGTACAATTGGGACCTGTTGTACTGAACCTGAAGCAATCATACAAAAGTACCTAAATGATGTATATTCGATACAAGTCTGGATTGCTTTCGGGGAGCTGTAATAGTAACCTCCAATTGGGAGAAGAACAAGATCAATAAAACCTGAGTGGGCAAGTACATCTTGGAGGAGGAGCAGAATTCTGGACACTGGAGTAGCGTCTGTTACTTATCCTGACATCCCTGAAGAAGTTACTTTTCTAAAAGCCACTCCAACCCTCCCCCCGCCACACACTCATTATCACTTCAAACCTTAGACCTCCTAACTACACAGGAAGCTAAGTGTATAAGGTCCCACACCTTCCTCTCCCGTTCACATGGAGGATCTTCACCCAAGACAGTTCCTGCCTCCCAGCCATGAAGCACGGAGCTCTGAGGTTCCAAGCCAAGGTAAAGCACCTGAGTTGGGTCAGATAGTTCCTGAGGCAGCTGATGCTCTCTGCATTCACCTATAATGAGCTCTCTTGAAAGGGAAGGGGCAATTCAGGGGAAAAATCAACAGCACTCCCTCTCTTGCAGCAAAAAGACACTGGAGGATTCAAGGCAGCAGGGCCACAGGCTAAGAACACACGCTCTCCCAGACTCATGTTAAACACCTCCTGGAGGAAAAGATTCTCTTTATACCTTTGGTTTTCTCTGCACTCTGTCTCTTCACGCTTGTCCACAAAAGACCACTGGGAAAAGGGAATAAAGGAGAATTCTGTTAGCATATTTACCTCTGCAGGTAAATGCATTTACCTCCTGCTACAGGAGTCGGGCTTCTTTAGCATGAAATATATTTGCATATCCTGTAAAAGCCTCTAAGGGTGCAGACCTTTTCATGGGAAGGTCAAAGAGTGGGACTTGCCCTTCCAGGATGGGCCTCATGACTAGCTGACCAAAGTCAGAGAGCAAGGTCAGTGAGCAGGGAGGATCAAGGGAGATCAGGGAAGAAAAGAAAATGGGGATGGGGGTGGGGAGCAAAGTCGGAGGAGATTCCTACACGGTTCAAATCAACCACCCACCCTGTTAACTATTTGATGCTAGACAATGTTCTCCAGACTTGGGGTTCATTAGGATACAGAGAGACAAATATATGTTAGGGTTCTCCGGAAGCACACCCCAACTGGTATATATAGAAACATATACGAGAAGAGTCAAAGGTCTCACGATCTGCTCTACGAAAAGCCAGATAAACAGGTCAGAAAAGAGAACAACTCAGTCCAAGTCTGAAGCATTGAGAAGCGAGAGCTGTGGTGTCCAAGGGCAGAAGAGGCATGGCTCAGATCCAGGTAAGAGAAATCCCAGCCCTCCTCTGCCCTCCCATCCTGTTGGTCCCTCAGTGGACCTGAAAGGAGCCACACACACTGGTGAGGGTGGATTTTGTTCACTCAGTGATTCAACTACTCATCTACCCAGAAGCACCCTCACAAACACACTCAGATATAATGTTTTAGTAGCTATCTGGGCACCTCTTAACCCAATCGAGTTGACATGCGAAATTAAAAAACTATCACCACCAACCCACTATGGCCACCTTTGGAGATGTCAGCTTGGATCCCAGAACACAAGTGGGTCTTGCCCTGATCAAATCTGTAAGTACAAACCATTCCTACTGCCACCCTCTGTCCTCACCCAGATAGCACAAGCCAAGCAAGTCAGGCTCTGGCTCTGAGAATTCCCCAGGCAACGTCACTCTCCAGTTCCCAGCTAACTTCTTCACTAAAACGTCAATTCTAGACACCCATCACGTGGTCCCCATCACAAAGGAGAATCAAAAGATGTCAAGAAGGCAGGGAAACGGCAGTCATTAACAGCAACTTCCTTTTCCTAATCGAAGAAGTCTTCATGTTGCCATGTATCCGTGTGGATATTGCTGAGCAATTTCAACACACAGAAAAGTGCAAAAATAGTAAGTCAGCGACTCTGTGCTCATCACGGAATTTAAATAGGTGTAACTTTTCACTATGTTTGAATCAGTTCTTTTTTTTTCCAA